AATATTGGAAATCAGTTTTATTCAAGTTTGTTACAATTAGCCAGACAGGTATATTTAATGCAATCAGAATTACCAACAGCATTAAATGTGTTTGATACTGATTATCAACTGGAATACAGCGAAAGCTACTCTAGTACTGTTCACCAAGAAATTGCTATAGAGGGATATCAGTACTGTACCTCTTTAAGAAGAGCCTTTGAGTCCCTCATATTTGAAAGCTACACCAATTTCATATTAACAGTAGCATGTATTGCTGTTGCAACCTATTGTAATAGTAATTTGGGGTTCAAAATATTTGATTCTCATGCTAGAGATTTGTATGGTAGAGGGTAGCCTCAAGGTACATGTGTTCTTCTTGAAGTACCATCTCTTTATAGTTTGGTGCATTATTTTCAGAGTATACATAGCAGTGATATATTTGAAGTGAGAGGAGTACAAATTGAGAATATTCAAAATAGGATGGTTTCTCAAAACAGTCTGAATGAAACCATAAACTTTAATCTAAGTTGTGCTGTAGCTCTATACTCTCTTTGCTACTCCATAATGATCAAAATATATGTATTCCCTCCTGTTTTATAATGAAAGAGACACATCCCGTATTCAGTACACTAAAAACATCAGCTTCACATCAGAGAACTGTTTGCTTCAAAAAGTAAACATAAAGCAATGGAGCCACCAGAGAAAAAAATATTCTTGGAAAAAAAATAATTTAGGGATAGGAAAAATGAGCAGGAAATACAGAAAAACTGTCCTAAAAATAAAAAAACAGTGGATGCTGTTAAGAAATAAGACCTGCGAAAGAAAATGGCACATCAATACAAAACTATGGATTCTGACAAGAAACAAGAGTTGTTAAACAAAAAGCACAAGAATCTAAAACAATGGGGGCTGCTACAAAACAAGAAGTACTTAATCCTTTAACTCCTAGAAGTGATTAAAATCTAACCTCTCCCTGCAATATTCATACATTATCCAGCAAACAGGTAATGAAAATACTCAAACATATCAAGTAGAAGTTGTTGTCTTGAGCTAACACCAAATTCTTGTAACTAATTTGAAAGGAAATGTAACTGCAGGGGAGATTGACTATCACATCTTGGGAGTTAAAGGGTTAAGAGATGCAAACAAAATGTGTTCGTAAGAATAAAACTGTAGATTCATGTATTGAAGAGTTTAACTGAAAAACAAAGGAAGGCCCATATTATGTATGTTGTATATGTAACTGAACACTTTACAAGAAATCTGTCTTAAAACTCAATACAACCAGTTACCCTTCTCAGGACATTTTAACATACTATCGTCATTTGATGGAAGAGAGTATATCTGTAAGAGTTGTCACTTGAAAGCTAATCGAGGCAGTCTTCTATGTCAAGCAACAGTTAAAAAACTTATTTGTGGATGACATCCCAATTGAACTAGAAGATCTCAAAAAAACTAGAACAAATAAGGATAGCCCAGCGCATTGTATTTGGAAAAATAATTGTAAAGCCAAAAGGAGATCAAAGGAAAATTAAAGGTGCTATATGTAATGTACCAGTAAATTGTAATCAAACATGTAACATATTGCCTCGTACTCTAGAAAGGTGTGGTATAATACTCATTAAGTTAAAAAGAAAACTTCAGTTCAGAGGACATTTATTTTGAAGCTGTGAGACCAGAGTTCTTAATGTCAGCACTCAACTGGTTAAAAGCCAATAATCCTTTGTACAAGGATATACAAATTGATTGCACAAACATAAGTGTAGAACTGACAGATATGACACCAACTTACCAGCAAATACTATTAATAATCATTTAGAGAGTACATGTGAAAATGCAGTTGATATGGGACAACCTTATGATGCCTGTTTTCTTGAGAATTCAGAATTGAACAGCTCTGTAGATGCTCCTAATAATAGAACAGAACCTCTAAATGGAGATATAGAAGACCCTTTGAATGAACACGGGTCGCCTGCTAGTCAGACATGCTTGCAGTCAGTTATTCCAGATTATTATTCCAGATTATCCTATTTTAACTGAGGAACATCAATCTGATAACTCCAATGGTAGAGAAGTCTACAATATAGCACCTGGTGAAAACAAATACTCAGCGTCTCTAATGACTGATAAACTATATGAGGAACCCCATGAAATTAATAGTTCATCTGGTAATAACCTTTGGTAGTGACATTTTGTTGTCGCACTTTTTGTCTGCACACTACATAACAAATGCCGTTTTCAGCTCTGTATACAAATGTGAGAAACTTGCATCTCTGGCATACCAATAATTGCATTAAAAAACTTGGGAAAATACACGCAAAAAGACAAAGTTAGTCTAGTTTTTAAGACTAAAAAGGGATCCCCGTTTTTGATTTCATTAAATACAGGAAACTTTTTACTCTTTTTAACGTACCGGTACTCTTTAATCCGAATGCTCCTAATTGCATTTGGAACAGATTTCAATTTCTTTCTGATTCGCGTAGACCTTTGGGCCGTTTACAAGAGCCTCTCTTTATGACTTAAAGGTGCCATACCCACATAGTGACTCTGGGAAACGCATACTTGTCTATAGTGCCACCGAACTTTCCAATGATCTTAGTTCCGACCTTAGAGAGTCCTCTACTTCCTCTTCTCCGCTGACAATCAAATCTGTTCTCTCCTCTTAAATCTAAATTACGAAATCTACCTCTCTCACGGCTATCCTCTGCCGAGCACTTGGAGGATCTACTGTGCTCGATTTGCCGCTATTCGATTCATTGTAAATGTTTTTCACAGTACCAACCACAGCCCCTATTGAGTCTTTAATACATATTTTACTCTGATTCACTTATTATAAAATACAATTTTATGACGTGTTTATAGTCTTTCTATTTTTTTTTATACATATTTCGCTCTCTTTTGTCAATTTATATGATTTATTTACAATTTACTACGTGTTTATAGTTTATTCTACTGTAAATATCGTTTCTACTACTATATTTGCTTACTTGGTCTTCTAAATTTTTTTCGAGGGCCGCAAGTTAGAAAACTGTAATAGGTTATTGCGTTTCCTTCCCGTATAAAGTTAGTTATTCATCCATTCATTCATGCGAGCCGATGGGAACAAACCCGACGGACCCTCCTACCTCTGAGTAGCCCTTCTCAGTGCCGTCAATAAAAAGTAAAGAGTTTTGTCCACTTCAGCCTTTGTTATTCAGTCACAGGGATCTGTAACCTGTACTTTCTGTAAGCAAGAACACCCCAGCGCGAATTGTGGTGTAAATCTTTCTCTCACGCCTATCCTCTGCCGAGCACTTGGAGGATCTACTGTGCTCGATTTGCCGCTATTCGATTCATTGTAAATGTTTTTCATAGTACTAACTATAATCCCTGTTGAGTCTGTCATACATATTTTACTCTCATTCACTAGTCACTGGTCCCATGCCCCATCCACCAGGTTTAGATACTGATTGTCATTTGATCACAAGCCATACTTTGTGGTTAGACACTTCCTCATGTGACGACCCCGTTACCGACAAGAAAGTTTACGACCCACCGGTGGAACAAGTCAAAAAATTCTAGGAGTTAGAGGCTATCGGTGTCCCAACACAAGAAGAGACAGTGCATGAGAAGTTCTTGGATATTATTCACCTAAACAACGGCCGCTTTGAAGTCTCTTTTCCTTGAAAGGAACAGTACGCATTAGTACAGGATAACTACGCCCAAGCCGTTTCTCGCCTTGCTTCTGTCCTAAAACGTCAAAGAAAGAATCCTGGATTGTTTGAAGAATACAACCACATCATTGTAGAGCAATCTTCACCAAGAATAATCTCCGATGTTGATCCTCACAAACCAGTCGAAATTAGTCACGTTATTTTTTTACTGCATCATCCAGTTATACGCGGAGACAAATAGTCTATGATGCATCCGTCAAGTCTACTAGTCCAGTGTTGAACGACTGCCTTCCCGCAGGTCCATCATTGCTTTCTGATATACCCGATGTACTGATGCGTTTCAGGTACAATCGTGTTGCTTTGGCGGCCGACATTGTGAAAGCTTTCCTAGTGGTCCGGATAAAAGAAGCTGACCAAGATGTTTTGCGCTTTCTTTGGATAGATGATCCTGATAACGAGCATCCAAACATTGTCGTGAAACATTTCAACCGAGTTGTATTTGGCGTCACAAGTTCTCCCTTTCTACTGAACACAACAATTAGACACCACGCCACACCACCAAAAAGGCAAGATCAAGAATGAAAAAAGCTGGCTTCAATTTGAGGAAGTAGATTTCAAGTTCTGAACGACTGATGGAATGGATCGACGAAGAAGAAGGAGTACCAGTCAAAGAAATGTTTAGGTTATCCGAAGAAGACGGTACTGAAGAGTAGGCGCACGCAGAAAATCTATGGAATTTAAAGAATTTGAAGCAACAGCTAAGATTGCACACAGATCACGACCTAAACGTTCTTATCATTCAAGATTGCCATAAGACAAGTCGTTCGCAAGATTCTTGCGTGGATTGCATGAAGATAGAAGGGCAACATTATGCCATCCCACCGACCGCGCCCTGCCTCAATTCCTTGTGGAAGGGAACCCTACCTTCTCCAACACTGGAATCGATTTTGCCGGACCGTTGTTCGCTAAGAGTGGCTCTACGGAAAAAGTTGTTAAGAGGGTCTAAATGTGTTGTACTCTTGTGGATGTTCCAGAAGCGTTCATCTTGATTTTTTTACCAGATCTGAGCGCGGAAACATTGATTAGAAGCTTGAAACGTTTCATCTGCAGACGAGGTATACCAAAGCTGGTTGTGTCATACAACGCCCAAACCTTCCAGACTGTCGCTAAGTACTTATCATCCCTCTTTGAGTTGCCAGAAGTTCAGGGTTTCCTCTTGAATCATAAGATTAAATAGCGATTAAATCTGGAGTTAGCGCCGTGGTGGGGCGGTTTCTTCGAACGCGTGACTCTCAATGACGAGCCAGAGCAAACCGGATGTTAAAAAATTCTTGGGGTTTGGTTGCTAAGGTGTGACGTCATGATCCGGCTCAGTAGCTATCATCGCTTTCGATTTGTGGTTTCGACAGGGGAGCGTTCGGTGATTACCTTAACACCGTTGTGTACAACCTCCAATGGCGTCAATCCTGTTTATTTTGAGGGGCTGGATTTTTCTTTTGACTTTTCTTGAGGTTGAATTTCAGACATTACTAGCAAGAGCGGGAAATTTGTTCCCATTTCGATCAGGTGCTGTGCGGCATGGATGCCTTCGATATTCGAAGAGCTGAATTGCTGCACTCCACGAGCGATTCGAGGGACTGGTATCTCCTGAATTCCAAAATATGCGGCATTCCTGTAGGAAAATTCATGTCGAGTAGCCCTTTGGTGTCAAGCTTTCCAAAAGAATTTAACACAGTGCAACTCTCGAATCTTAAAAATGGCGGGCACTTGGATCGACGACTATTTCACAAAGAAGAGGTATTCATAGCCTCTTCTTTCGGCGTTGTTTTTGCGATACTTCGGCAAAAACTAAAAGCGGGCGAAGAAGAAAAGTACAGTTGGTTGGTTGATGGCATCAACAGCCTAAATATTGGCCAGTAATGAAGATTGCCAAACAGCGACTGACACACGTGACAACAACAAGGACAAAATTCATGACCCTGTACAAACAGTATTTGGAGTCGATTCAAGGTCAGCCATATCCATAGAGGATATCGAGAAGAGTCAAGATGAAAATCTTAAGCTTAAGGCTGAACTTGAAGTTGTGCTTTCCCAGTTAGAGGCCCTTCGAGATGAGGTGAAAAACGGCGGTCAATCGACGCTGAGCTCAGGCACACAGGACCCGGCAATGGACAACCCGGACAGTACAGTACAAGCGATATGTGGACCTTGATCGGCGATGTTTGCGCTAAGTTCCAGGTGCCTCTTGCATCTTTATTCGCCGATCAGGTGGACCAGAATGTTGAAGTGGCTAAAGTGATGAGCGATATCGCAGAACAGCTGCTGAGAAAAAAAGACCCGAAGCAAGCCCTGGAAGCAATACTGGGGGACAGTGCCCCAAAATTCTTTAAATCCCTTCGTGTGCCCGATTGGACGTTGCTTTACTTGAAGCTGCAGTCCCGGATCCCAGACCAAGGATGGCAAACCTTGTTGACCTTTACAAAGTTAGGGCGAACTAAGGTAAATCATTTTATCTTTTTAAATCATTTTGTATTGCCAGTTAGTATGTTTGATTAAATTGGAGAGTGGGGAAAATCTGCCCACCCTGTATTTAAATTCTGGTCAACTTTATCCGTTTCTTTTGGAGGTCAAAATTTATTTAATTATGATATAATAAAACAATATACCGATACAAAGTACAAAGATAAATAGAAAAATAACAAACAGAAATATTGTTTTTCCTCTTTCTTTTTTTATTGCTAAACTTTGTCAAGGGCATGGCTAGAGGGGTTCCTGAGGTGCTCCTGACCCCCCACCCCCCTTTAACCATACCTCATCTTACTAAAATCATTTTCACTGATGAGCAGTGTGACTAAAATAGAGTAGTTTATATTAGAACTCAAACTGTAACTTGATCTCAGTATTTTTATTTCACAAGACATGTCTTTCCTTACCTAAACATTTATTTGTGCTCTTATCATTATTGATGGATTCCACATTATATTATAATCATTCTATTACCATTTTACATTTTAATGGGTTCATTGATCTGTAATGCCAGGGATGGAAACTTAATTTTGACAGCACTGGCCATCGGGCGAGTGCCTTTAATAAATACCTACTGCTAAATTACTGACTCCATCACCTTAAAAAAAACAAGACTTAAGAATCAATTTCCTCATTCTCTTCTTGGATGTGTTCCTAAAGATTGTAACCATCTGCATTTCTAAGTCAAGCTGTAGAAATGCTGATGACAGTAAATGCAGACTGAGTAATTAAAATAAAAGGCATTTTGGGATGTGATCCCAGAAGAAGCCTGTTAATGGACATTAAAATCATATTTGTTAATGTCGGGATGTGATATTCAAGAAAATTTAATTATTCATCTTGTTTTTTTAATGACAGTTACACTTGATTACAAGGCATTGATAATACTTATCAAACGAAAGAGTGAAGATAATGAGTCAGATGAAGAAATGGAAGGTCTATGTCAGAGAGGGTTGGACACAGAGTGCTGTGTGTTCTGTAAAGTTATACGGGTAAGTTAACACAGAAGTAGCCATTAAATGTAGTTCCTTTGTCACTGGATGTGCACAAGTCATTTTATAATAGTGTTTTCACTGTGAGTTTTGGTATATGGGTAATTAAAATTCATACTCAACTTCAACTTCTTCTTCACAGTTTTTAATTGTATCAAGCTTGTTAAGGATACTATTACAGACAAAGGATTCAATTTCAATCTGATCAATTATCAATTACTTTGATTGTGTGCCTATTTATGGACGTAGTTACAATGTTTTTTCTGTTTTCCTATTGGTTTGTAATCAGATCCTTTAGTGTCACCTCACATTTTCCATAAGATTTTGACTTATTGTCCATTGTTTGCCTTGTTTGTTGTCTTGATTCATAATCTTTGGCACGAGTGGGACCGATATTTTATGATCATTTATAAATCGTTGTTAACCGTAATCCTTGATTTCCTTGTTTTGTGGTTCCTTGATGACGACCTGTAAAATAGTCCTGTTACTTAGCAAACACACCTTAGCGATACCCCTTGAATTTTTGTCTTGTCTTGTTGCAAGCTGTCACTATCTGGTAAACAATAAAATATCATTCTCTATTTTATTGCAGGGATGTGCATGTCCAGGGGTTGAACGTGGTGAATCCTGTGCAGAATGCTTTATCAAGAGCAAGGCAAATGTTGGAGGGTCAGTAAGCCCATTTAATTTTTTAATGCAATCATTTTACAAGGGCAGCTGTATGTTATTTATGTGTTTTTGGTTATGTGATTAATTTTTTTGTACACACCTCAGACTTTAGACATGCATCTATGTATTAAATTTTGATTACAAAACTATTTTCAGTAAACAAGTATTTTATTAATCCCTGTTTAGCCTTCTCCATTATACCTTACATTAATTTTCTATGGTTGTAGATATAAGCGTTATTGTCCTTAAAGAAACTGCAGACAACTTCCCAGGAATTGGCTTGATTGTAATTGTGCATAATTACAATCTGGTATAATTGTAATTACATTGTATGCACAGGAGAAACTGATAAATACCTAAGCTTGATAATGTTTAGGTATAAAATAAAAGGTCAACTTTCAGTAATTTTTGATATTACTCCTCCTTTGCTAATATTTTAGATGGAAGGGTGTTAGGGATGACTTGCTGTTTCTCCTTGAAGAAGAGTTGTGTGATGTAAACCTATGCACTCTTCATTGCGAGCTGCGGAATACAGAGCAGTTGCTATGTTCACTGGGAATGTTTGCGTATGAGTGTGGAAGCCTCAAAAATTGCAATGCTGTTTTAGCCGAGTATGGACCAGACAGTATGAAGGGAAGGGACAGAATCGTAGTAAAGACAAAGCCTGGCCAGGAAAGTGGTATTGAGCAGCACAACATTCAAGTGTTGTCATTCTCAGGTATACAGACATACATCAGATTGATGCAAACAGCTATTGTGACAGTCACTTTTTCTACAAAAGACTCCAACAGAGTAAATAAGCGTACTTCATTGACCATAAAATTCAAGAATGCTTTTTTTCCTCTCCCTCTTTTCCCTTGGCCAAGTGCTAATACCAAGCCAATGTAGCTAAACAAGTCATGCAACATAAATACAACAACCAACACACAACTAGGAAAGTAAATTATGTTGTATTTAATGCCATATCTTTAATACTATAATTAATGTATTGTTTTCTTCAAGCTTTTAGAACAAAAAGACTATGCCTTACTTAGTGTGGTTGTCAAAGCTAATAACAATAACTTTGTCTTCAATTAATAACAATCATACAGAAAAATGAAAAGCTATAGTAACCATAAACTATTGTTAACTGAACAACTTTTAATCCCCACCCCCAGCCTAAGGTGATTTAACAACTTTAGCAGTATTTACTCAAGCATGATCTTTGTATCGTTTTTAGGTTCAACAGAATGCAGGTTTCTCGAGAACATTGAAGAAATTGTCACCCAGTCACTGCCATTAGAAAACCTGAGGTTTTTTAAAGACAAAGATGTTGCTGAAACATACTTATTAAATCAGATTACATTCTGTGAGGAAATGATCCAGGTAAACTTCCAAGGAGTTAGGAAAAAGAGGAACACTGACTTAGTGTGATAAGGAAAGTAAACAATATTGTTGCACATGAAAAGTAACTAAGGAATAATACCAAAGAACAATGCACGAGTAAGAAAAGTCTGGTTCACTTTTCATTTTTTCAGCAGATCTACTTGTTCATTATCTGGATTGAAATCATTGCGTTTCATAAACTTTTAAGCCTAAGCTTCAGTTACGAGATCTTCCTTTTTCAGCATAAATCTTTGATTTCTTCAGAATACCAGTAGAGACACTCAGATGTTATATGTCCTCTCTGGTTCACCCAGGTTGAAGTCCTGGCATAGTTGTATGCCTGAGTGCTCCTGGGATATATAACATAATAAGTATTTTGGTTCGCACATGGTAAATCGAAGTTCTAGCAAGTGTTATATATCCTCTTTGGTTCACCCAGGTTGAAGTCCTGGCATAATTGTATACCTGAGTGCTTCTGGGATATATAACATGAGCAGTACTTTTGGTTCGCACATGGTATCGAAGTTCTAGCAAGTGTTATATATCCTCTCTGGTTCACCCAGGTTGAAGTCCTGGCATAATTGTATGCCTGAGTGCTTCTGGGATATATAACATAATAAGTACTTTGGTTCGCACATGGTTTTGAAGTTCTAGCAAGTGTAATATATCCTCTTTGGTTCACCCAGGTTGAAGTCCTGGCATAGTTGTATGCCTGAGTGCTTCTGGGATATATAACATAATAAGTATTTTGGTTCGCACAAGATATTGAAGTTCTAGCAAGTGTTATATATCCTCTTTGGTTCACCCAGGTTGAAGTCCTGGCATAATTGTATGCCTGAGTGCTTCTGGGATATATAACATAATAAGTACTTTGGTTCGCACATGGTTTTGAAGTTCTAGCAAGTGTTATATATCCTCTTTGGTTCACCCAAGTTGAAGTCCTGGCATAGTTGTATGCCTGAGTGCTTCTGGGATATATAGCATAATAAGTATTTTGGTTCGCGTGTGTTGGGTAAGACATGGTTATAGCCAACTTCAATCCTCTGATTGGCTATCTACCAGCTCATATCCAATGCGTACTCGTGGAATAATTGTTAAGTATTTCTGTTAGATTATGGTATGGGAGAACCTGGAAAATGATGTTATTCCCTCACGATGCTACCTTTCATTACTATTATCAGAATACCCTTTCCATCATAGCGGCTATTCGGCTATTTTTTTAACGTAAGAATACCCTCTTTGAATGAACAAACAAATAATTGTTCAATAAGTTCCAAATTTATTCATCATCCAATTTTTCTTTTTTTTTTTTCGGGGGGGGGATCATTTCAAATAATATGGAAATGTAATACGGAAACGTGGTGCCGAAAACAAAAAGCAAAAGGGGGCGAGAACCAATGATTCAAAAAAAAAAAAAAAAAAAAAAAAAAAACCGTAGCGTACTTATTCAACTTATGTAGTTCGGTCGATTAACACACTCGCAGGCATTCCTACTGATCGATAACGTTACCAAGTGTTTTCACTTCGCGTGTGAAAGCTTGCCTCAGTGGGAACTTTAGCATCATATAGTGGGTGGGAGAGAGCGGGCTTTGGATGTGTCCTATTTCAGTCGTGTACTGGTTGAAATAAAAAAAAAATGCAGTATGATAGACGGCTGGCTTTTAAAATATAAAGTGTTGCGACTTCAGCCTGGGAAATTGTTGAATACACTGCGATAATTTCGTACCGTGTAAAACGACCCGAAGTGTATACTGTAAAATTCTGGTTAGATTATCTACCTGCAGACAAAACAATCCGGTTATAGGCCCCCCGATAACCCCACTTCCCCCCTCTGCTGGATGACAGTGCTAACTGGAAATTTTGCTTTAATATGACTTTAAATTAAAAACGAATTTAGATCAACATTACCATGGCTTGTTTCCAAACGCTTTTCAATCCGCTAAACCTACCCAAAACCCTTTACAAAGTTTTATTATATGGCTGCGATAGTACGCGCGCTCAGATTGGTTAATTAGCGGTCCGTAATCCCCCGGTAAACGCCCACGGGCATAACAGATTTTTTCCGCCACGGTTTTGGTTTACAAAACCTAGCGAACTTAGTGACTTTCGCTGAAAGGAACTTCGTTAAAAAAGCAAGAAATTGAACAAAAAACGTATCTCTTCTTTAACTATGTGTTCTGAAAAACATTTCTTTTCTGAATTTTATTATCCTGACGAAATTGTGACGGAAAATGAAGGCAATGTATAAGTTCACTCTATTTCACGCGCTTTACCTATTTGAAGCCATATTATAAAAAAACTTAATAACCTTGTTTGCTCGGGCTTTACTGTAAAATTCCATAATTTCGGGCTGAAATTTTGATTTATAGACCTCGCCCAGAGGCTCGGTTCATAAAGCAAAAATTTCATCCCTCAGTCTGGAATTTTACAGTTAAGCCCTCGCGCCCGGTTATTAAGTAGTTAGTATTAGCCAAGGGCTTATAACCGAAATTTTACAGTATCAAAAATTTAACATGCTGAGTTCGCACTACTTCACGGTTTAAACGGCTAAATTTCGCCGTCAAACTCCGCAACGTTCTCATTTTGATCGACATACGCGTTTCGTTTGTAGTCGTAGCGTGAGCGTGTTGCGTGCATTAATCGAAGGGAAAAGTCGTGGCGTCCGGTTCGCCCCTTGTTCATTTCAGGCAGACTTAAAAAAGGGGGAATTTCGCGTGAGTGTTAAAAATGACCCAAAATGACGAAATCCGAGATTCGTTCAACAAAAAGGGTCTATTCGCCCCCGCAGGGTTTTTGGCCCCAGAGGGCCAAAAACCCGAGGAGGCACCTTAGGACTCCCCGTGTAATATAGAGGAAGACTGGAGAAGAGAGAATGTGGGTATTTTCGGTAGATCATAACCAGAAAAAATCTCGATTTGATCGCTTGCACGGCCGCAAGGTATCAACGTTTTTCCCGCAAATGGTCATGGGCTGCCAGTAAAAAGACACGCGCGCGAGGACTTTTAGGATCGGCGTCTTTGACACGAGATTTGTCCTAGTATAGAGGAAGACTGGAGAAGAGAGAATGTAGGCCCTCTTAAGGTATAATTTTGTGTCTAATAACTATATAATAATAAATTGTTCTTCAATGCTGTCTATAAATTGTTCTCCAATGCCACCTATAACATTCCAATGTTAAAACTCACCCAAGTCCCTACATTCTGCTTCTTCTTGATCGTGAAGAACAAACAAATCCTAAGTTAAACCACACAGCAAAAAAAAAAAAAAAATCCCAAGCACTTCCCAAAACTACATTTTGTACACTTGTAGTATTTTGAGATCCAAAATTACTAACACCAAAGTACTGAGCCGCAATTCCGTAACAGCATAACAGAAAAATTACACAACTGTAAACAACAAGCCCAACTCAAAAAAAAAAAAAAAAGAAAATGGTACTGTAGGGCGGGGGCAGCTCTAGTGAGAACTATAACTAGTATACTCTTTCTTAGTATCGATTTGCTGGCACATACGTATTTGTCTGGCGGTTTACGGTCCAGAAAATAGAGCGGTTTCAGAAAAGGAAAGCTGACTTGGAAAGTCAGCAAATAAAGTCGGCTCGTCCGCTTTCGCTTTTGTTCCCGGCCTATTGATAAAAATCAAAGAGCCAAAATACGTCATTCACTCCAAACGTGGCATACATTCACTGACACGTTTTGAATTACCAAAATAGAAATTTTAATTATAAACGCACACTCTCGTTTCAGGATTATAACACGCTCGCGCGAAAGTTCGCACTTTCAGCGTAACATAAATGATCAGTAGCAGGGATATTGTTACAATGGAATGTTGCAAGCTGCTGGACGTCAAGCTGAGATCGTGGAGTAAAACTCCTCGATCTCAGCAGGATCCAAAGCTCTTTTTTCGGTTGCTAAGAACGTCTGGCTCGTCATTGCGTTTAACGTTGTCTCAAGAAAATCTTGAAGAGCGCGAAGTTGACTTATGACGAGCTTTCGACTGCCGTAGTGGAAGTAGAATGTGTACTGAACTCGAGACCACTCACATATGTATCTTCAAACGATACAGAGAAACCCCTTACGCCTTCTCACCTGTTGACAGGGAGAAGAGTTCTGTCCATCCCTAACGAAGTTGGAACCGCTGAAGAAGATGAAACTGATGTCCAACTCCTCACCCGAAGACAGCGTTTTTTTTCTACATTGCTCGGTCAATTTTGGAACCGTTGGAAACGTGAGTACGTCTAAGGGAGCAGCACAAGTCTACTAATGAGGGTGGCAACGTCACACAATCAGTTGCCACATGTGATATTGTCAGCGTGGTAGAAAAAGGGAAGTTAAATCGTGGTACGTGGAAACTTGGAAGGATTGCGTAGGTACATCTTGGAAACGACGGTTTAGTTGGAGAGCTACTGTTGAAGTTGCTTCGAGCAGTGGCAAGAGAAAACGTCTGAGAAGACTCTTACAAAATTTGCCTCCGTTAGAATTTCAAAAAGTTGGGGATACGGAACAAGTTCCGGCAAGACCAGAGGCAAACACTTTTCAAAGGTACAGGAGGAATGCCGCTATCACAGGAAAAGTTAGAAGACGAGAAGTCGATTAGTTTCTTCAAGAACAAGAGAACTCATTTTAAAGGAACACTGATCGAGGGGGAAAGGTTTAACACATATCTTTCGTTTTTAAATTTCAAATTTCAATTTCCTTTTCCTCTACCCCCTTTGTATGACTTTTTTATTCACGTGTGGCGCGCGTAATTTAAGAAATTAAACAATCACATCAAAGAACTTTAACCTTGACTTTGGAAACTGTCGTGGACATTTGGCGCGTATGGTGGATTTTTTTTTTTTTTCTTTCGGAGTTTAGTTTGGTTGTTATTTTTGAGTTTTCGTTTTCGCCAATTGTTTTCCCTCAGTTTGGAATTTTCAAGAAAAATGAGCTAAAAATTGAAAGAAGCGACGGTAAACAACTTTAGGTGAAGATATCACAGGTCGATTGATCGAGGGGTACACGTGGGAAGAGGAGCCGTAAAGGGGGTCCTTTGCATTTTTCACGACTATTGAATATGAAAAAAAAACGAATCACGGTAATCAATACTAATCAATACTCTTATTTCACACTTAAAGGTAAATAACATGATAATGGAAAAAAAGATCTTACATTTTTGAAAATCTTTAGATCGTGAAATTTCTTCCGTATTCAATATTCAATGTTTTTCTTCACGCGATATCGCCTTTTCGTGAGAAGAAGATCAAAGAACTGAATATAGATATGATATAGTCGTTGTGGGTCTACCTAACAAAGTTTTGATGTAACTTTAACAGTGGCGAGTTGTTGCGACGTGGAGAAATCGTGTCATCTTCATGATCCCTCGCAGGTAGAGGTTCACTATCGGAGTCGGTGCCGCACTTATCCGTCTGGCTATCATTTTCTACGGCGTCGTTACCTTGTTCTGATGTTTGCCGCTCTAATTCCATTTCACCTCTTTGTTTTCCTCCTTTTGGAGGGTCTGTTTGCTTATTGTTGTGTCAGGAAGCGTCTAAGTAAGACATTCCATATTGTTGAAGGATAATCCAGAGTCTTTATACTTAACCTAGTCTCCGTTGGTTTAAAAAAGGTGGCATGCATATTGATTAAGAGGGTACCTGCTTTGAACCCGGTGGTTCGGCCTAACGCACAGTTCTTTCCCTTAAGCGTTGCTTGCTACCCAGTGTAACATAATTTCCCGCTCTCTTTCATTAAATTTTCTGGCTGGACCAAAGTGATTTATCCGATAGTACGACTTCTAGTGCGTGAACTAGTTTGCCGCCCAATGTTCAACCCTCTTGATTCTCTCATAGACCGTATTGGCCAAAAATCACAGGTACTGGAGCAAAGTAGGAAACTGTTCCTCTAAGTGACCCCCAACACGTAAATTTCCTACTTGAGTGGTGAGGAAAGAGTGCAGGTTAATTTCGGAGCTTGGGTTCAACTCGTGTAACAGATGTTTGAGAGGCCTTACATTGATAATCATTTTGACGTGTGAGGACTAGACGGACATAAGGAGGGCTTGTGAAAGTTTGCCATTACAAAAAAAAAATTATCTCGTCAGTCGTAACGGAGGACAGAAAACAATTTCTTTTTTTCACGTACCACGACTAGCATATCGTTCACAGCTCCCTGCTTTCAACTTTTTTTACGATGACAATTTACAGCAATTAAAAATAGCAGATCAAATTTCACGGAAAACCCCTTACGGCCCCTCTAAGAACAGCGAATCAGTGAGACAATACGCCAGAATCGGATAAGCTTCTCCTATA